TCACCAGTGGAAGTATATATTGTTAAAATCATCCGGATGATGTCACATCGGGGAAATAACGTTGTGTTACTGTGTTACTGCCATGTCGATCTGTCGAGGTCAGTGAGGACAATGACTGCACCTAACGAAGGAGGTAGACGTCTTAGTGCGACATTTTACTGCTCTTTATTATCATTTTGTATTTGTTATATTCTATCTTATCCCATTGACAATGACCTTGTATTTGTTATCTCTGTCTGATACCATAGACAAGGACCTTGTATTTGTTATCTCTGTCTGATACCATAGACAATGTCCTTGTATCTGTTATCTCTGTCTGATATCAAAACAAGGACCCTGTATTTGTTATCTCTGTCTGATATCATAAACAAGGACCCTGTATTTGTTATCTCTGTCTGAGACCTTGTATTTGTTATCTCTGTCTGATACCATAGACAATGTCCTTGTATTTGTTATCTCTGTCTGATACCATAGACAATGATATTGTATTTGTTATCTCTGACTGATACCATAGACAATGTCCTTGTATCTGTTATCTCTGTCTGATATCATAAACAAGGACCCTGTATTTGTTATCTCTGTCTGAGACCTTTTATTTGTTATCTCTGTCTGATACCATAGACAATGTCCTTGTATTTGTTATCTCTCTCAGATACCATAGACAATGACCTTGTATTAATTATCTCTGTCTGATACCATAGACAATGACCTTGTATTCATTATCTTTGTCTGATACCATAGACAAGGACCTTGTATTTGTTATCTCTGTCTGATACCATAGACAATGTCCTTGTATCTGTTATCACTGTCTGATACCATAGACAAGGGCCTTGTATTTGCTATCTCTGTCTGATACCATAGTCAATGATATTGTATTTGTTATCTCTAACTGATACCATAGACAATGTCCTTGTATCTGTTATCACTGTCTGATCCCATAGACAAGGACCTTGTATTTGCTATCTCTGTCTGATACCATAGTCAATGATATTGTATTTGTTATCTCTGACTGATACCATAGACAATGTCCTTGTATTTGTTATCTCTGTCTGATATTATAGACAATGTCCTTGTATTTGTTATCTCTCTCAGATACCATATACAATGACCTTGTATCTGTTATCTCTGTCTGATACCATAGACAATGACCTTGTATTAATTATCTCTGTCTGATACATTAGGCAATGACCTTGTATAAGTTATCTCTGTATGATAACATAGACAATGACCTTGTATTTGTTTTCTCTATCTGATACCATAGACAACGACCCTGCATTTGTCATCATCTAAATTCAAATATATTGACTAAGATTATTTCTTTTTCATTGACGTTACAATGAAATTGAAACTGAAGTTTATTACTGATAAAACTGCAAATTTACTTCAATTGTACCATATGTACAGCCTGCTAAAAGAGAATTACACTACAAGGTACAGCTATTGTGTCCCTCTGGGACTCATCGGTAATGCTAGTGTTTAGTTTGGTTCTATGCGTTTTACGTCCTAGTAACAAGTAGGATAATTAAAGGACGTACTAGGTTTTTGCTAAGGACAACCGGGATAACCAGATAAAAACCACCGACCGATCAAGAGGAAATCTGTATTGCTCTAAATTACTGTCGAAACAGATGAAGAGGTTCCAAAAAGCCATCCCTTTACTTTATGAGTTTCAAAATCACATGAGTGCAAGTTAATTTTACATCAATTAATATTTGGTGTGTCCATTCTGATTTGATTATTTAATTATGAATGAAAGTTTTACGGTACAGTCATAATAAAGATTCATAATGACATTCTAACAAAACGTCATATTAACATTTCTAACAGCAGATATCAATTAACTTGTTTGTATTCAAACTGTTATTCTCAGTGTAGATAATGCTAACAAATCATTCTATATGCAGCTATTGTGATATGGATTTATTTTGGAATAAACATTTATGATTCTATTTCGGGGTCCATGGTGCTTCCTTTGTTGTTTTGGTATCCTATTGACTCTCGGTTTGTGTGTTGGAGTGTTTATTATTCGTTCTAAGTTTGTCATGATTGTTAACTTTTTATGATATATACAGCACAAAAATAAATGACCCATATCATGTAAAACTAAATAATTCCGATCAAAAAGCAATCAGCACATTATTAAAATTACGATCGATTTAAGGAAATATATGAGTCAACAAATCCAACACTCGCATCATTCAACCTTCACCAGACGTTTATCTAATAAATACAGATTTATACTGCTCTTCAAACTGCTCAAGTCAGGTAAATACAGAGTTTTACTGCTCTTCAAACTGCTAAAGTCAAGTAAATACCGAGTTATACTGGCTCTTCAAAGTGCTCCAGTCAATTAAATACCGAGTTATACTGGCTCTTCAAACTGCTAAAGTCAAGTAAATACTAAGTTGTACTGGCTCTTCTAACTGCTAAAGTCAAGTAAATACTGAGTTATACTGGCTCTTCAAACTGCTAAAGTCAAGTAAATCCCGAGTTATACTGGCTCTTCAAAGTGCTCCAGTCAAGTAAATACCGAGTTATACTGGCTCCTCAAACTGCTAAAGTCAAGTAAATACCGAATTATACTGTCTCTTCAAACTGCTAAAGTCAAGTAAATACTGAGTTATACTGGCTCTTCAAAGTGCTCCAGTCAATTAAATACCGAGTTATACTAGCTCTTCAAACTGCTAAAGTCAAGTAAATCCCGAGTTATACTGGCTCTTCAAACTGCTAAAGTCAAGTAAATACTGAGTTGTACTGGCTCTTCAAACTGCTCAAGTCAAGTAAATACTGAGTTATACTGGCTCTTCAAACTGCTCAAGTCAAGTAAATACCGAGTTATACTGGCTCTTCAAACTGTTAAAGTCAAGTAAATACCGAGTTATACTGGCTCTTCAAAGTGCTCCAGTCAAGTAAATACCGAGTTATACTGGCTCTCCAAACTGCTCAATTCAAGTGTCATTTGCTGCTCAATGTCAAGTGTTTTATTTTTTTATTTTCTATTCAGATGTGTGTTTTATGCAAAAACAAAATGTGAACTAATTTAGATATATGCCAGATTTTCAGTATTTGTCTACTATAAAACAGTAGATAACGTATCTTAAAAGAGGGTTGTGTCTGCAATGTTTTGACAAGACCAAAGAGTAAAACCTGTAATTTTCGTAACATATGTATGGAAATGTGACATCTGGTTTTGTAAAATTACGTAAGATGTCTATTAAAGATAGAAGCGGAGCGTTATCGACGAAACGATCGCGGTCAATACATCGTTCCTCTATATACTTACCGTGTGCTACAAAGATGAAAGATCTACTCGTGGAGATCGTCGTTAATGTTTGAGTTCCATCTACTTATAGGTTCTGTCGAAGTTTGACCTAGTTTCTGTCACGTTTGCTTTTGAATGGCATTTTATACGTCTCTCGAATCGATCAAAATAATGCCCGTTCTGTATCATACTTTATACAGATTGTGTTTTATTTTCTGCTATACTTTGTATATGGTATTTCATTTTATGCCGATAAGGGTGATTGAATCTGCTTAAAATTAAATTACATTACAGAGCGGAATTGGAACGGTGAAGACCGTATAATGCAATGTTTGTGAATGTGGTATAGTTTAGTTATCATGTAAATTTGAATATTGCGATCCTACAGGTAGGGGCGTATGAAATCCATCAGTTTTAAATACAATTGATGTGTAAAATTAACAAGGCAATATGACACCTCAAATGTTGAATCCCAACACACGTAGTGTAACCAGTCAACGGTAATGTCATTGTTATGTGCACACATTTGATTAAAGTATCGACATTGTTTGGGTCGTCTTTGAATTCAGAAAGTTCATTATCTTTGACAGTTGTATTGCAAGTTTACATCAGGGAGTACCATTCCAGAGAACAGTTTCAAGTTTTACTTTGTAAAATTACTTTATAAAATTATTTCCAATAAAATAAATCGATGACAGACATGTCAGGATTGGTAAGGACTTTTCCAATGATGACTCGAGATTAATTTGGACTCAGATTTACTATGTTACTTATCAAGTACAAAAACGACGAAAACCTTAGACTGGCATCGCGCTAGGGAAATCAATTTCGAGGGTGATTAAGCATTTTCTGAAGGTTTTAAATGGCATCTTTTAAATTTTGTTTAAATTTAAATTTCCAAAAAGAGATCAGGTTAAAAAATAATATTTATCGGGAAGATCTCGAATCGCTAGGGAACAACGTTTCATCGACAAGAACGACAATACAATAGAATTTTATATCAGAAACGAATACAAGTATTTAAATAACAGCTAGCAATTACATTTGGCTGCTAGAATACTGTCTTACTGGGTAAAAGGTTGGTTACAGTTTCGGAGTGATGTTTGGTGTGGTTTGTTTGTGTTTCCATGTAGTCCTATTACCAGTCATATAAGGGCGTACTAGGTTTGGTGGTGAAGGAAAGCCGGGGTATCCGGAGAAAACCTTCCGACCACCGGCCATTTCCTGGCGACTGTTCCACATAAAACTGAACCTCCTCTAGTGTTCTGTCACACAACTCAGACCTAAACCCCGATAGTTTTTTGAAAGAAATGCACAAAAATATCTTAAAATAGTAATTTCTCTTGATGGTTTTCCTTTAGATGAAAAAGAAAGAGTAATCCTACTGTAGTATACTATTTGCGTAGTTATATCCTCGCGATTATTCTCTCGCAAATTATTTCGATTGACCAATCAATTGCCGTGTTTCAACATCTCAAATGAATGAGAATTCATATTGTCACTATTGAAACATTTGTATCAAGATTAAATATCCAAATACATGAATAGGTTTTGTTTACAATTTTAAAAGGTTTCCATGTAACAAAAGTCAATAGTTTTCAATAAGTCCGGTAGGAATGAAATCAAACCTAAAGATATGTAAGTAGTAACTGTTATGATTTAAAAGAAGTGTTGGAACTGAAAGTTATGAAAATGTATCTTACTTTTATCAAGACGGTATTTGTTTTTCTCTTTGCAGATCGTCAAGATGCTGGTGATCGTGGTGGCTGTGTTTGGGATATGCTGGCTCCCGATCCATGTCTTTGCCATCGTCATGGATTTCTACCCTAGTGTCTTTGAACAAGGGGACCACATGTTGACCATGGCCGTATTCCTTTGTGTCCATTGGCTTGCTATGTCCAACAGTTTCGCTAATCCAGTCATATATGGATTTACTAATGAGAGTTTTAGGGTAAGTTGTATTTTCCCAATACTAGACACCCTACAAATAAAAACATACGTTTTATAACTCTCGCGAAAATCATCTACAATGGATTCATGATACTTTATAGTAGATATAATGACTATCCTCGGTTTGAAAACATTTCATTCAAAGTGTGAATGTGGCGATTTAAATTATGGTTTTATAGGTCACTGAATCGGAAGTGTACATACGTTCCATTGGTTTAAAATTTAGAAAGTCACAGCATAGTTCTAGAGATAACTTAAACCATATCTTAGTAATCAAGGTCTTTTGTTTAGACTAGAACAGATATGAGGCTGTGTAATTGCCGATGCACTTGTTATGAGCTAGTGTCCAACTATTTATTTTCAATTAAATCCTAAAAATGTCTATTTGATAGAATCATTTAATGTCGGTTTTCTGGATCAAAATGTGTTTTTGGTGAAATTTGTCAGTCATGAATTAGATAAGGATTCAACTAATCCTGTTCATCATCAACAAAGAGTACAAAATCCTTCTGCTGCCTGAACTAATTCAAAAGTAAAAACTTTCTCTAACGTCGCTATTCAGACAGAAAAAGACGGCTTTTCACCAATATGCTCTAAGTGAACCTTAGTGAAGACAGCCTCTAGCGTAATGATAGATGGCGATAGGGTATAAGTGATGGGATCGAGGACCATTTAGTGTAAATATTTAACCAGTGTTAACTATAACATACGTGTACGTTGCGCACTGGTTTACGCTATCTATCAGGATCGTTTTTCACATTAAAGGGTGTTCGTTTGTAATGTGAAGAAGGTTTAAAGTGCTATTTTAGAAGTTGTCTAACAGGTGCCCCCCATAGTCACAGATCAGGCCCTACAAATTGCATCACACTATTCAGCGGGAACACATCCTTGCGGGGTAAGCCGTTCACTTGTTGTGGTAGGAAAACATCTGGGCACCTTCTAGAGTGACAGAATATTTGTGGAATATATCTTTGAAATGATATGTTTTCTTCTGTCGGTTTTTTTTGTAATCTTATGATAACAAGTTTTGTCACGTTTTTTTTTATCTACTGTTTATCGAAATGCCATAGACCAGATATTCCAGTCTGCACTCAAGCAAACGCTATGGAGCTGGCATTAAAGAACGAAAATAAAAATAAAACAACGTTGTTTCAAAACAGTATTTACTCAAAACTAAATCGTGGACTTGATTAATATATGGTAGGTTGTTCTGACATTCTAGTCCTTGTTATTCAGCAAATAACAAGACGTTTCGTTTTGTTAACCACATACAAAAAAGATGTAAGAGTTTGCACATTCGATAATCAATGAATGTTATATTCCATGAATACGTTTTTAATAGAATCATTGTTTTTTTTTCTTTTGTTCATATATAAACAATAAGAAATTACATTTAAACGTTTTCCTAATATGAAATTAAACTCAACCACAATTGATGTATTTCCTATTTGTTTTACAATGAATAGAAAATGTGTGGTGATCTCAGGAGGAGGGGGAAGTGGTGTGTTCATGTAGATACGGGAGCATTATTTGGAATATAGGAATCAACATTTACATGTTGGCGTAGGATTATCGTGATCAGCTACATTTGTATGAGTAATGGTATTGAGAGGAAATGCCATGCTCTGCTGTATTGTACCATTTTGGTTTTTGGTTTTTCGAGTTATTTCGCTTTCAACTATATGACAGCTCACTTAGTAAATAGCGCCAATATTATTCATTCTTGTGCACCTTTCTAACATATTTGTCTGAAATGAAACCTAACCAAATGCAGATTATTATTTTCTCAAAGACAACTGCTATATCTATATTACAAGTATGAAAGTATGAAAGATGTTTTGGTAAAAGAAGTACATTTTTCAAAGAAGCTTATATCCTTGAAACAAAGATAACATTATTTAATCATAACGCGGATGTGGGATTCTCTGGTCATTACACAGATTTAGGATTTATGCCTCTAATTATAACACAAATGGATGAATGCGTGCGTTGTACAACTTGGAATAGCATTATATATGCGGAATATAAAAACTAATTTTTTTCTCGGAAAATAGAAAATATTATTCATAGTATAAAAGCCTTTAAAACGATACCATGTTGTCTTTCGTGTTGTCGATGAAGTGTTGTTAATCATACGATGACATCCGGGACATGTCAGTTACATAGATCTGTATGACGTAAAACGCTCGAACAGTCCTGGTATTTTGATCCCAAGTGTTACTATAAATAGTAACCAGTTAATGACACACCACAGTATGCCACTTTTAACATAATTTCCCCTAAAGAGTTCTTCCTAATTGTTTCCTGATTAAAAGTCTGTACTTCTTCAACGTTGCTAGACTTTTGTAACTAAATAACAGATTTGCACTGTCATTTACGAGGCCATTTAGCAATACCTGATGACAATGATAAGCACAGGTGTGTGCAAGTGACAGAAATAGAGAGGCATCAAAACTGGGAATGTAATCATTTACCTTTAAGCGTGAAGCAACGAATGGTTATTCGTTGACAATGTCTTATATTATAAAAAAGTTAGTCATTCAATGTTTGAGATAATATTTAAAATGAAAATAGGATTGCATTGTTTGCTATAAGATATTGTATTCTATAGAAACAATTCTTTGTTCATTCATACATTTTGAAGCTTGTTTATTTAAATGAACTCTACATTGTTTGAAAAAATGTACTGTTTGATTAATCGATGGTGAGATACTCAACTATAACAACAAACATCTTGAATACCGGATGTGATAAAAGAAAACGTTTACACTTCCGCTTAGGGTTTTTGACGCTTTGACACATTTTTTTTGGAAAATGCATTTTGTTTTCTATATTTAACAATAATACATTTAATTGACTGTAAAATTTAAAAAAAAAAAGTATATCGGATTGAAGTTTCTGAATAGAACAATATAGTCAAACCTGTCTTTAGAGACCACGTGTAGAACGTCCATGAAATAGTCCATTAGTTCAGGTGGTCTGCTAATACAGCTTCATTTGAAATGCAAATAGACACAATTGGGATTATTTAGAAAGGTACAGTATGTATAATAGAATCAATCAATGGAGAAGTGAGGAAACACCTTTTATAACAAATATGTTCCTATAGAACGCCAGACAAAGTCAAAATTCCCTGTATCGAATTGTCATTTAGTCAATTTAAGGAGTCATTATTGATTTTATGGTCAAAAGAATCCATATAGGACCTCTGACGAGCTGTAATAAAACATTCTTGACAAGTTTCATAAATTTCATATGAAATGAAAACGAGTGTAAGATTCTTTTCACACAAAATCTAGATTTGTGGTATTTATTTGTGTAAAACGACAATTTTCATGCAACCTTTAAATGTAAAAAGCCGCCATTTTGTCTCCAGTGTGTAAATCTGTGACGTCATGTACTTTTCCTCGGCGTGACGTCACATTTGAAACAATTGAAACTTACAACCAATCACATGTTTGATAGGTCATAATATTACATGGACTAATACCCAAAAAAATATGACATAGGTATATTCACTGGATAACACAGTACATTATGTGATAAAAATCTGTATCAATGGAAAGCAAAACAGAAAGGTTCCTTTAAAATACATTACTACGTTACAAATTGACAAGGTGCGGCTACAGCAGATACTTTGGTCGTAAGCTAGTATTTCATGTAAACAATGAGAGAGAAAAAATCCATCTACAAGGTAAAAGAAATGTGGTCTCTAAAAACAGGTGGCCTCTTTTCGCAAATTTTACAGTATCATGGAATTTCATTGGCTTTTGCATGTTGACTACTAGACTTTTATGCAATTGCTTATACTGCTAATAGTCACCGCTTTTGATAAAATCGGACATCATCAATCGACATCTGAAGAACTTCTCATAGTACATTATTTCATTTAATTATATTAAAAACGTTAACTTTTACAGCAATCTATTTTGGCAATGCTTGTCTAGTATAACGACTTAATCATTCAGCTCCACCAAGGTACTATAACAATTAGATTGGTTATAAGTACAGAACCATAATGATTAAATCGATTCTTAATCACGCGAACAACAAACGAGACGACCGCCTGCTGCCCCACTTCACTAATATAAAGGAGCGTGTCTCTAACTATCCTATGTTTCTATCCATCCTAATTTGTCCGACACATCATATTTCTATTCTAGTATGTAGTTTTACAAAAACTGACATATGTGAGAGAGTGGGGTGTACTCCGACGAGGGTATCCTGATCGCTGTGGGTTGTACTCCAACGATGGTATCCGGATCGCAGTGGGTTGTACTCCTCCAAGGGTATCCGGATCGCAGTGGGTTGTACTCCTACAAGGGTATCCGGATCGCAGTGAGTTGTACTCCGACGAGGGTATCCGGATCGCAGTGGGATGTTCTCCTACAAGGGTATCCGGATCGCAGTCGGTTGTACTCCGACGAGGGTATCCGGATCGCAGTGGGTTGTACTCCTACAAGGGTATCCGGATCGCTGTGGGTTGTACTCCTACAAGGGTATCCGGATCGCTGTGGGTTGTACTCCTACAAGGGTATCCGGATCGCTGTGGGTTGTACTCCTACAAGGGTATCCGGATCGCTGTGGGTTGTACTCCTACAAGGGTATCCGGATCGCTGTGGGTTGTACTCCTACAAGGGTATCCGGATCGCTGTGGGTTGTACTCCTACAAGGGTATCCGGATCGCTGTGGGTTGTACTCCTACAAGGGTATCCGGATCGCTGTGGGTTGTACTCCTACAAGGGTATCCGGATCGCTGTGGGTTGTACTCCTACGAGAGTATCCAGATCGCAGTGGGTTGTACTCCTACGATGGTATCCGGATCGCTGTGGGTTGTACTCCAACGATGGTATCCGAATCGCTGTGGGTTGTACTCCTACAAGGGTATCCGGATCGCAGTGGGTTGTACTCCTACAAGGGTATCCGGATCGCAGTGGGTTGTACTCCTGCGAGGGTATCCGGATCGCTGTGGGTTGTACTCCAACGAGGGTATCCAGATCGCAGTGGGTTGTACTCCTACAAGGGTATCCGGATCGC